TAATTTTATTGACTCGTTTAATAAATTTTTTGTTATCGGAACATTATAATTTTACATTAAAGTCATTAATCTTTTTATATTTATTAATTCATTTAAATAACGTAAATTTGAAAAATCATATGGGAATATGTAACGCAATTAATTTTAAATCTGGCATTGAAAGAATTTCTAAGAATATTCTTTCGATTTCTTCGTAATATAAATTTCTCATTCTTGTTATTGAAACATAATTTTACGTTAAAGTTTTAATCCTTTCATTTATTAACTCATTTAAATAACGTAAATTTGAAAAATTACATGTAAATGTAACAATTAATTTTAAATCTAGGATTGAAAGAATCTCTAAGAATACCAATTTCATTGCGATATAGATAAATTTCTCATTCTTGTTATCGAAACATTATCTATTTTACGTTAAAGTCATTAAGCCTTTCAAGTTTATTAACTCATTTAAATAACGTAAATTTGAAAAATCACATGAGAATGTGACACAATTAATTTTAAATCTGACATTGAAATAATGTCTATTATAAGAATACAAATTGCTTCCCGATGTAAATTTCTCATTCTTGTTATGGAAACGTAATTTTACATTAAAGTCATTAATCCTTTGATGTTTATTGATACGCTTGAATATCCGCTTTCCTCTCGCCTCGAACTATTCACTGAACTTTCAAAACTGCGTCATGCATGACTTTCCATTAAATATATTAAATTATCGACAGTATACTTTCCATCGGACGAGATAGAAATCGATCATCGTTATCGCGAAATAATAATCATTCAATAGTAAAACGTAATTTCATCTTACCGATGTACAACGATCGCAAGATCATCTGAATGCCGCGGCGCTCTCTGCAGCAAATCGTCCGGCATATTTTCCGAGAGCTAGACAGACCATCTGTCACGCGGCGACAAAAACGCATAGAAAGTTGATTCCCCGGAGGGAATCGCGCGCATATATATAGGTACGTCCCGATGTCCCAAAAGTGTGTTCCCTGTTCGACGACACGTCAGAGTAGGATGTTGACGGTAAAATAAATAGGCGACCCCGTGATTTTTTTCTTCATAGAGCACGCCACGTCGGAGAAGGGGAGCCCCCTCGCTGCCCCCCCCCCTCCCCCTCGCTCTCCCCGACCTAGTGTTCTCAACTTGGAGAATGTGTGTGACCGACCGCGCGGTCGGTCGTGCGCGTTTCGAAGTACGCGCGGAGCACGCGCGCGCGTGCGTTTATAGACCCACATAATCGAGAAACCAGCAACCGCATTCCTCATACACGTACTAATGGACCGCCTCACCATCGGTCTCTCCCCCTCGTTGCACACGAGGTCTTTCAATTTTCTCGCTCGCTGTCCATCCGGCTCTCTTGGCGTGACCCCGGCGTGATGTATATCTGGTCACCGAGCACGGAGGAAGAGATGTAATGTAGGAAGAGAAAGGGGAAACGCGCGCGGGAGGGAGGGAGAGAGATGCATACGCGGGGCCGGGAGGCGAAGATACGTCAACGTGATTACGAATGAGCGCGTCTCGCAATGCGCGCGCTGCTGGCGCGATGAAGATATGTTGTTAAAATCATGCGTTATTGAAAATATTATAAGAATATACCGCGAATTGTGGCTTCAATCTCTTGAAGTACAGTAAGCGACAGCTAAGCGGAACAGCAGGAACACACGATAATGTTGAAAGTGACGTTAGGAATCACGACTGATCGAAAAGACTTTTAATAATCATTTTGATGTCATAATGACTTTTTGCTCTGCCTGATGGGTACAGTTAGAAGATAGCAACGTCTGGAAAACGATATCGCTTGATATCGTTTCTATTAGAAATAGTAAAGTTTCGGTGAGAAAGTAGAGGAGCTGAGATGTTAAAGTAACAAAATATATATATAAAAAAAAAAAGAAAACATAATAATTGCGTATGATGAGATGCCGCGGGAATACGAGGAAAGTAATGTGCGAATCAAATTCTTCGGCTGTGACCGGTGATCCATAGCCCCAAGCAGTGGCCCAAATGCCTGACACACATAACGTGCGTGGCTGATGCACTACCTAGATACTTTTACGAAATCCTATTAGTCTCCGACCCGAAAGATTTTGACGCGTCTACAAGCCCACCGTGTATTGCATTATTTATGACTCCCGTGATCGTCTGAATTGTGACGCTCTATGCGTTCTAAATTCTGTTGATTGATCGAAGAAGATTAATGCCCAATATCACTCGAAGATTTACGACGAACGATGACACTGTTCCAACGAAAAGACTTTTATCGAGCACAAAATTGAGAGTAATCTTTTCCCGTAATTTTTTGAGCAGTGAATAGTTTATCAAATTGAAACATTTGCGGTCAAACTTCCAAAGAGAGCTATTTTATATGTCATGAGTACAATATGCGTTGGAGAAATTCTTTGCAATCAAAATTAAGTATATATATTGTTAGGATTTTTAGCCTTTAAAGAAATTTAATATGTCGATTATGGTTACAAAATATTGGTAGTTAATATAAAGTCTATTTTTGTTGCAACAAGATTGCGATTTATACATATACAGTTATTAAGGAGCTACCAAATATTTTTTAATTATACAAATTTATAAAATCCTTAATGGCATATATAAGCTGTAATTTTGACGCAATAGACTCTATATCATAAATATTTTTTTATTATAATCGCACAACAAATTCCTTTTAAAAACTAAAAATCCTAATAATTATATACTTAATTTTAATTGCAACAGAACCTTTCTAATACGTTATAGTGATAAATACAATATGCAAAAATACAATATAGTTATAATTATAATTATAATATATAATAATATGCTAAAACTGTATAATGTTAACTCTTTTTAACCGCAAATTACTCAAAATTGTGATATAATTTAATGATATCGTGATATAGTGATTTGATAAACGATTTGATAAATGAACGGGATTCAATTCCCCAAAAATTATGAGAAACGATTACCTTTTTTGTTTCTATGTTAAAAAAAAAAACTCATGTAAGAAAAACAGGGATAGCAGAGTCAACGCGGTACTTGGTGCGTGCGAAATTCAATCCTTTTAATAAAAATCTTCATTACAATTGAACATTTTGGCTTTCGATTCGAGCCATAAAGAAAAAAAAGTTTCAGCAATAAAGAAAAAGTTGATGGTACCTTTTTTTTTACGGACACGTGGCAAGTCTCTTAAGTGTCATTCATGATCGGTTGGTAAGTCGAATATGATTTTAGAGAGACAAATTAGTCTAAAACATTTTTTTTAACATTGTAATCTTCTCCGTTTCTATTAAAGAAAAGTTTTAAATCGGCCAAAGAAAATCTATGGCCGATAGAAAGCAATAAGTCGTCCTAGGTTTGGCACACCCTGTATATTTAACTTGCCTTACACTCGCGAGGTAACTGCAACGTACTTATAGAAACATTGCAAGGTGTTATGGCGCTATAGAAGGTCACATGTAGAAGGGATAGGAAATGGCAGAGTTTAAAGCACGCGTTTGCCCACAAACGTGGACAGGCTATACCGCTCACTTCGATCCGTCTGCATATCTTGTATTGTTTTCGCGTCGAACAAAATAAAACGATGGCGATCGCGATATGAAACTCGATCTTTTTCCGCGTCTCTGGCAATGACCCATCGCGAAAGTATACGGTAGGTACGTCGGTCAAAGTTCTCGGAGTGCACCGACCTCTTTCCTAAGGTATACCATATACGCTCGGAAGTTTCGCTAATAAGAATATCGCGTTCTCGGAGAGACTTCGCTCGCAAGTAGATCAGCGTTGAAGGGCGCACTGTCAACCCCTCTATCCAGGGGCGAACTTCTACCGCCAGGGGCGGCTTTCGGAGAGTAAAACTCCAAAGTTTATACCGAGCGGAAGATTTCGGCCCCAAGTTTGGCGATCGTTAATGTCAACAGGACCTCCGAAAAGTTTGATAAATCGAGTAATTTCGAGGACGAAACTCGTGGTGCCCCGGGCTTCGGAAAATGCAGCGCAGCTTCCGCATATATTCCTTGCGGAAGAGGATCAATATTCTTGTTTAAGTTAATACCTAAGCTATTCTTTAAAAAAAGAAGTTAATTTTTTTCACAAATAGCTCAGTAGTGCCATTGCGGGCCGACGCGGATGTTGGTGTGTAACAATTTTTACTGGTTACACGGAAAAAATTGCTGTCACAACAATATTCTCTATGTTCGGAAAAGAAATGCATGTGAATTTAAGTTATATTGATGTTACATGGCATACATTTGTTAAGATATGCTCATTAGTACGGTTGTCACAACCGTAGTGCTTAGGATAAATAACATTCGGTTAGAACATCTTCATTATATGTGGTTGCCTAAACCGAAGCATTATTGTTATATCTCTCTAATATGATCTGTACAACAAATAATATGATTGAGAGATATATATGATATAGTTGCACGTCACAACATTGAGGCTAAGAGTTAATTCAATTAACTATATAAATCACTTCCAAAGTATTTTAGCTCCTATAATCCTTTTAAATTGATGGGCGAAAATTACCACAATTATTATATGTTGTGGCAACAGTAATTTTTTTTCCGTGATACAATAGCAAGCCACATACATAACTGCGCGCTGCATATATTGTCGGTCTTGAAACACAATTCTTAATAATAATTTCTAACCCTAGGTATATACACTGTTTTTTTGACGACGACGTATACACACTGGGGTCTCTGAGGGACCCCATCATATTTATTACTGTAACTCCAGTAAAAATGGACATATTTCAATTAATTTTTTTTTTTTCAATCGATAGAGAATCGATCAAGGAACAAGCTCATAATGTTTAAAAGTCGAGCTCCAAGATATACGGGCTCAAAGAAAAAGGAAAGTTCAAAAACGCTGGGGTCCCGGGGACCCCAGTGTGTATATCTAGGGTTAATAATAATAAAAATTTTTATTAACACAATTTTTCGGATTTTGACTGTCGCAGTTTGAATGATAATTAAAGAATCGCATTTCGCCAATTGCAGCCATAGAATGCATCGAATCCGAGACGGGATGCAGGAGGTGCAGGGACGGGACGTGCGCCAGATGCGCCGTGCTGTTGCACCAGGGTACCTGCGTGCATACCTGCCCACCGGGCTTCGTCGCCGACTGGTCCACCCGGGACGAGTACATGGGCCGTATCTGCCGGGAGACCGGCTACATGTTCGGCCTCACCGGTAGCCAGGTCGCTATTTTGGTGGGGGTGGTCTCCGGCGCGACTATTTGCATCTTCATCATCCTCTGCGGCGCGATAGTCGTGCACCGGCGCAAGAAGAAGGCGGCGAAGCTGGCCCAGCAGTTCGAGGACAGGTATTTCTTTATATTTTTTATTTTTCAACTCCTTCGTTACTCTCCTGTCACCTTCGTCCTACGTATGTAACGTACGTACAGCGCGGTGATTCATTGAAAGCGTTCTCGTGTATATTTCAGCGCGGAGAGGAGAGAGTTTCTGAAACACCTGGCGACGCTCCGCGGTGAGGCCAATACTTTCCTCGCTATGCTCAACGACACCAGAAGACAGGTCAGGGAGTTGTACTACTCGGGAAGTAACGGAGACGGTGCCGTCGGAATCCAGGCGTACAGGTAGATACGCAGTAGAGAAGAGAAATTGGGTCATTAGTTATTTTTTTTAAAATGTTACCCCACTTAGAATCGAACATTGCAGCAAAATTAATTTGTCAAATATTAAATAACATATTGTGAAAAAAATAGGCTAGAAAATTGAACATATTTGCAATAGAAATTGTGCTATTACACATATTTTTCTAATGAATACTTTTTTTTTTAATAAAAATTTTCTGAATCCCTCTCTTTTTAATAAAAAGTTATTAAAAATTTAATAAGCTCTTATTAATCTTTATTAATATTGCAGACCAGTGCTACGTGACCTGGCGAGAATACTGGTCCTCGTGAACAGAAGAGACGATGAGATACCACTTCCGCCCGATGATTGGCAACGACTGTTCTCGTGGGCAGAGCGGCTGCTGAGACGATACAAAAGGCACAGTTCTCCAGAAGTGAGTTCATTACTCATGCGAATATTTCTGTGATGTGAAATGAAAAAAACGGCGAACGAGCGGTACCGATATTATCTCACACTTTTAATTCTTTTTCACGCCAGTCCCTAAAGCACTTTGGTGAGTCACATATACCCAGCTGTATGCAAGAAGCGTAGCGTTAGACCGAGAGTTTCCCCGCGTAAAAGCCCCCCTCCTCCCTCTGAACGGCAGACTGTTTTTTGCATTAAAACATGTATGAAGCGTCACTCCTGAATCGTGTAGTATTTATTATTCTCTTGTAACTTGAAGGTGGCTCAGCTCGTGACGTTCCTGCAGCAGCCGTCGAGCAACCCCGTCCAAATGACCTCGTCACCGGCACCTCAACCGGTCGCAGCGTCGCAACCGCCGCTTCACCAGCCCACGTACGAACCGAGAAGCACCCCCACTAATCTCACCACATTCCAAGCGAACGTGCCGCTCGCGACGTTCCAAGCGAGCGACAAGTCGAGCATCAGCCCGGCGAGCTCGAGCCTCGGCTACACGAAGGACAGCAGCCCCCTCGGCTCGAGTCTGGGCCAGAACAGCGCTTCCGGCGTCTACAACAGCGAGAAGCTCAGCCCGAACGGCTCGACGATCGGCCAAACGACACCCCTCGTCTACGGGAGTAATCTGAAGCGAGGGAGCTCGAGGACGACGAGCGACTCGCATCTCCAGGAGCTGCAGACCATCTCTGCGTTCAGTCGCGGCTACAACGGCGCGCTGCCCTTGGAGGCCAACAGCATCCGCGCGTTGCACGACGAGTGCGAGGTCAACGACGGCCTGGACCGCGACCTGAATCCCCAATGGAAGTTTCAGAGCAGCCCCGTGGAGGCGGCCAATTACACCATCCTGTCGGACTGGTCGCCCGCTCGCGACTATCTCATCGACGACTTCACGATCCTCGGTTTTCGGCCGCAGGACGAGATCACCACGGAATTGTAATATCGACTGATAGTGATACATATCTAAACAAGACTTCTAAAGGGAGGGGGGTTACAAATGCTCGAAGTGTTCCAAATATCATCGTTTAGACAATATTTCGAAAGTCCTTAACAATCTTCTTTAACAATCCCGTGATGGTATTTTGTTATTGCATTAACGATATTTGTCAAGTGTGTTACTCGTGGGAAAAGGATCGTAATGATGAAATTATATAATTTGGGCAATCTATGCGTGTTACTCGATAATATTGACGTATATTAGGTTTGTTTTTTATTGCTGCATTAGAACTTTCTATCTCATTTTCGACAAATTTCAAATGTCTATTTTATTTTAAGTAAGAGTGTGTACACACCAGTTCAGCTATAAAAAAAACAAACAGATGATAATATCGATAATTAGGATAAATAATCAATAATAAATGATCCTATGGGCAATATTGAGACACAGACAAATTTCGTTAAAAGTTCGAAGAACTCTCATTAAACCGCTATGAAAGAAATCCCATACAGCACAGATCGTTGAGAGAATGCCGAGACGTTGCGTTATTGAATGTTGAAGTGTGAATGTTGCTGCAACATTGGAATTATAATTTTTTGAAAATCATACAAGGACTGTAATTCGTAATTCTTGTTTGATGATTACATAATATACATTATATTATGTATTTACTAAAAAAAAAGTATTGTATTTTATTATTTAATATTTATCTAGATGTATGAAGTACATTTTAAGAAGCCAGAATACATATATAATATACATGAAATCTATATTGCATATATATTGAATGAATGTTGAATCAATGTTTCTGAATGTTGAATTGCAGGGTTTGCAAGACATTACAATTGAACGCAATGTCTTTTTCATTATTAAGTATATATATTTCGCAATGTTGCAATTTAACGTTTGAATGAGATGTTGAGTCAATATTTGTGTGCTGTATGGGAATAAGTATGTAAAAATATGTTGCCGCGGTAAATCTGGGTAAACTTGGAGTTCTTCATTGTTTTCTTTAGGACAATCTAACGTGAAATGTTGAGTATTAATGATACATTTTCATAAAATTTCGTTGAATTCTTGCAAAATTGTATTTATGTTCTAAATATTGTGTCATTTTACGAAAATAATATCTTTAATTTGATACACATATCAAGTACACTGTGCAATAGAAAAAGATACAATGATACCAAATTTTAAATGCTTTGTATAAATATTGGCCTTTATTTAATTACTCTGTACACGTCTAACAACAATTATTTTATATTATATAGTGTACTAGTCAATGTTTCTGTTTGTTCATATCGAAATATTGAAGCGCGCATCTTTGTGGCTTTCATATTTATTTGTTTGCTTCTCACTTACATTTACGTAATTATGTAATTGATTCTGAATTTTTGTTCTCGTGACAAATTTATAATTGTACAAATTTGTGTATCAATGAATCACAATATCATCTCATTTGCGATAATGCGCACTTATTAACGTTCATTGTACACTGCGTTTTAAGAACTCACATTCCACTCAAGTTGCCATAACAACATAAACTTGACAACAAAGTGGGAAAAAGCGAATCTTACAGCTGCAGTTTTATTCATATAAACAAATACGAATAAACATGTTACACACACATACATACACACACACACACTTGAGTTGAACGTGTCATTATATATATGTATGACCCACTGGTCAACCTGTACAAATTGATGTAAATACTGATTACTATTTTTTAGTAATAAATGTAAGAAAGTATCAAATATATATGTATACTTTATCAATTTCAGAGGGTTTAAATTTTCACCGTTCGCAAACCCTTAAATTTAATTAGATTAAAATTGTTGGAATTTTCATAATCACGTTTCTAAAAGCTTTAGCAACATCTCATATAATTCTTGAAATATTTTCTCTGGTTTTGGAGAATTTTAATTTTTATGACATAAAATGAATTCCCAGACATAAAAGTTATATTAAAAATCTTCGCAATTATCGTGGAATATATTAATTATTTACTTAATTTTACCTGATTACATATACTTTTATGATCCTTTGCCTATTTTTGAGAGTTCAAAATTCTACAGTTTAAACTTTCGTAAACATATAAGTTGGAATATTTTTTGGAATTCTAATGTGCGATCTTTTGTGTAATTATGTTCTCCTGAAGCTTCGAAAATTTTTGAGAATTAAAGATCCTTGTTCAACAGCTCATATGGCAACTAATATTGCAAATATAAGGATCGATATCGCAGTGAATATAATATCGTTAATCGGTAAAATTATCAGTTACTTTACTGACGGTATATAATTTATTAACATTATCTTATAATTACCGACAAAAGTTTTATACCTCAAAAATGTTAGGAGAATATATGATCAGACAAGAGGTCGCGCTTTATTAAAAAATCTAAAAATTTATTTAAAAATATAATCAGTAAGAAGATTGTAGGAGGTAATAACTAAAATTTCGAGAACTTACTGCATTTCAAAGAATTACGATTTTAGGAATTCAAGATGTTGAATTGCAAAAATCAAATGTATTGTGTGGTCAAAAATTCAAAAGGTAAACAAAATCAGCAAAAAAAATTTTGTGTTATCTAAAATCAAGAATTTTCTGAAAATGTCAAGGAACGTAATTTCAGAAATTTTTAGAACTTTATATTCATGATATTAAATTAATTAAATCGCGAATATCCAAATTTTTGAAAATCGACAAAATATACTTGATTTCAATATTATTGACACACCAATTTACCTCCGATCTCTTCCTGTGTTCTTCTATTTATTAATGCATTTTCATAAAATTTCGTCTTAATTGTGTCGTTGTTACATTGAAGAAATAAAAAATATTAGAGTGCCATAATTTAATCGATAATAAATTTTTTATAGATTATAAATTAGTTTAAAAAAATATAATGGATACAATGACATTTCTTATATCCATGTATTTTTTCCGAAATATCAATGTCGTCATTATTTTCTTAAATATAATTACACAATTTTTTAAAAATAATTCTATTTGCGCACATGTATTGCACGTATTGCATGTATTGTAACCTAACGCGGGAATTACAAAACATTACTATAAATTCTCATCGTTCGAACAACAGATTAACGGGACTTCACGCGCTTTCGTATACGCGCGGTTTTCCCGCCACCGGAAATGAGCGGCCGCGCGCGTGACCGCGTGCAGCGCGCGCAGCCTCGGCGAGACGAGGGGGGGGCCGGTGAGCGCATTTACCCGTAGGAATGCGAGCGGACCGTGCGACATTTCGTCGCAAAACAGGCCGCATAATTTCTATTTCGGCACCGCCGGGCCCCCCGCCGGGCGAAAGCCGCCCGACGAGACCGGTCCCACGACCGTCCACTCGGCAGTGCCCCCGCGCGCGTAAGTTCCTGCGGGGTGGGCGAGGGGCCGCCATGACAGTCGTCGTATTTTCTGTTAACCGCGAGCACGTAGGCCCCGCCGGCGACGTTCCCGTGAAATTTTCGCGCGACCTGGCGTCCGCCGCGATCGTAAGCGGCCGTCCCGCGTCCCGGCCTCGCCGGGCTGCCCGTCGCGGCAGTTGAAGAGACGGCGGACGAGGACGCGTGGCCATTATCGGAATTTTGCTTGTGGGTGCCAGTGGCGAGGTGAGACGTCGGGAGAGACGGCGAAGGAGCGCGACGCGGCGCGCGCGCGCGCGCGCAGCGGTGGCGGCGGCGCGCCAGGCGGCCGAAGTGCGGACTTCCTCCTTCCTCTCCTCTCTCCCCACCCGCCTCGTCGCGTCGCGGCAGTCGGCACCCCCCCCTTCGCCCCAACCCACCGCGGGCCCTGCCTCTCCCCGCGCGTTCCCTGGATCGGGACGGGCGGCGCGTCTCTCCCCCGTTGCGCGCGTGTGTGTTGTGGCAGAGGAGGCGAGGAGGAGGCGGCCCAGGAGCCGACGGAGTACGAGATGCGAGAACCGCCGACGGCACCGCGCACCACGTGAGTTTCCAAGCTTGCCCGCGTATACCCCGTATATACGACACCCGGGACGTGCCGCGTTGCGCCGCGGCGCGCCGCTCCGCGCCGCACCGCGCGTCCGCGTTCCCCCTCGTCCCCGAGTCCGCGTAGTCACCGTCCATCTTGTGTTGGCCCCTTGTCCCCGTTGCTCTCTGCGTATATGCGAAGGAGCGTAACGCGAGCGAGCGAGCGAGCCAGGCCGACGGCGGCAATGCAACGTGCCTCGGCATCGGTGAGACCGATGCCCCGACGACGGGGTTGCCGCCGTCGACGGTTACGCGGCGGTCGGTCGCTCGCCGCCTGGTACGCGCCCGTTCCGTTTCTCCGTCGCGAGCCGCTCTGGCGGCCCGCGCCATTAAAGATCCCGTCCGTCCGTTCCCGATCCCGCGCCTTCCGCGCGTCACCGTCTCTCTTTCCCCCCTCGGCTTCCCTCCGCGGCCGCGGCGATGTCGGGTAGAATTTTATTTCGAAACGCGGGAAAAAAAGGGGTGAGGAGAATAGGGACGAGGGAAAAGATGCGAGGGGAGTCGTCGCGGCTGGAAGGACCGAGTCCCTCCGTTTTGTCGCGGCGGTGGCGCGGCATGGCGCGCACCAAAGGATGACTCACCCTTTCCCGCTCGCGGCCGAGCGAATGAGCGAGCGATCGACGTACCCGCCGAGAGAGAGAGAGGATCGTCGGCGAGGTTAAAATGTAATCGTATATCGCGACGACGCGGCGCGTACCTTCTCGCTCGTCATCGTCATCGTCATCATCGCCGCCGCTGCCGCCGCCGCCGCCGCCGCCGAATGGCGTCTTCCCGCTCACGCGGCGCTCGCTCGCTCGTTTGGCGCGAATGTTTACGCGGACTCGGGGACGCGGTTACGCACGACTACTCGCTCGCCCGTCGCCTTCGTGGCACGGCTGACTTTTCGAGGTTAAACGGACGGTAGCACGTTTCGTTCGAGGTAGAACTACCTCTCTCGCGCAACTCGGCCCGCCACTCGTCGTCCACCGTCGTCGCCGTCGCCGTCGCGTATCGGCGGATCCGCGACGGCGTAGGTCTTCGTCCAGGAGATTGGCGCACGGCGCGATAACCGCGCGCTCATACTTACTACTTAGGCGTATACGTACACTCGCTCGAGAGAGTTAAACGAGAGCCGCAAATCGTGGGGAGAATCGGAGCATCTCCCACTAGATATTAGCAATATGGTGCGCATTTTTGATATCTTTGCGAATCGATATTGCACAACAAAAAGTCGTTACAAACTCAAATACGCTTGCCGTTGCGCATTACATTTATCTAATTAGCGTGACACGCTACTTTCGCACGCTAATCGAGCCGCCTGCTTGTCGAAAGGGTCCCCCCCCCGCCCCCCGATTGTTGTTGTTCAACGTCTCGAAACGCCTGCGAAACGGTTCCTTCAACCTCGGCAGTCCTTTGGGGCCCTGCTGCCCTTTAGCGAGTAACGTGTGTTTCGTCGATCCGTTACCTCGCGCTATACTTAGTATTTTCTGTGAAACGTAGCGAATAACACACGACAGAGCGTAAATCCCCGAGATTAACCTTACATAATGCATTTTGCAGGATGAGAAATGAAGTATGTCAGACACGTTTAATTAATATTCTTCAGTGAACGAAGATGAATAGTGAGCAGCATGCATTGCCAGCGACAACGCAGGCACAACAAGAGGTGAGGTACCTTCCACAGTCGCAAAAAAAAACAAAGAAAAAGAAAAAAAACAGGCTAATACACCAAACTACAAATGCGCAAATGACGATTTACACCAGATGCACTTGTGCTGACATTTAGATATATTGAGACATTTGTATAATGAGCTTTGTTTAATTTTTGACGGATTGTTTCACTTTCAGTCTGCCATAACTGAATTGTGTGTCCCGTGCCAGAAGGCTAGATTATCTATAATTTCACATGAAACCTTTATTGGAGTTAGAGCACATACACACACCCATGTGACGTTTTGATCACAGTTTCAATGCAACGTTTCATTTACGTTTCGTTACTTGCAACAATATTTTTACCTGTACGATAAATTGCCTCTTAGAGTATTATATTTTCACTTTGTGCGTAGTTACACACAAGTCAAATTGCTGATAATTTTTTATTATAGTCCTTAGGTTAGAAATGCTTGTAGCGTACGTATATACATATATATATATATATATACATAACAGATGGCTTACGCTTTCTTCTCTACTCTTCTTTACTCTTGTAACTCGTAATATATATTTTTGCTTCTCCCGTTGTCTTCATACGTATAATACAAACGTATCGAGCTTTAACAGATTTGCATGTATTTAAGTTTTGAGAACAGAGTGCCTCCCCCCCACCCCACCCTCTGTACGATCACTTCGTACGGCCTGGCACAGGTGTGGAGATAGAGAACGTTTTTTCCTCTCAAGGTTCACATTCTGTATATAACACAGAAAACACCGCTGTCTCTCCGGGTAGAGCAAACTCTTCGAATATCCGTGGAATCCTTCGTCTTGTGCTAGAGAGAGAAAGAGAGAGAGAGAGTGAGAAAGTGAGAGAGAAAGGGGGAGAGAGAGGGAGCGAGAGCGAGACACGTGTCAAAAGTGGCGCATTTGTCGATTGGATTTCAGCCTGGTGCATGCCGCTGCATGCCCTATCAATGTTGTACAAATGTCTGAATGTATATCGGTAGGATGTAAACGCGGGTCAAAGTGGTCGTCCTTCATACCCAGGTGGTTTGGCTACTGCGACCGCGAGTCTTGGCAATGTAGGGAGTACTCCCCATTCATCCGCGGACCTGCGTGTAGGTACTGCCGTAGCGTTAGCCTCCTCGGTAGCCTCCTCGGTAGCTAAGTATTGGGTCCTCACCAATCTGTTTTCTCCCGGACCGCTACCACAAGTCTCGGTCTACCACCATTCCCACCACAACTCCTCGCATAGGAGTGGTGGCGGTGGGGAGGCATCATCCTCCAAAGAGCCAGCCTCTTCACTGAACCAGGAAATGGCGTTGACTTCCAGCTCGCATCATCAGCAACAGTCAACAGCCGCGCATCATCATCATCAGCCTTCAGTTAGCAGCAGCAGCAGCAGCAGCCACCACAGTTCTCTGCAGTCGAATCCACAGGTTTGTTAATGTGTAGCGGCACGTGTTTTGTGTAACGACAACAATTTTGAATGCGGCTTTACAGATTACTCCGAATCTGTGGAGTAGGTAGATTTTACGCTTTTGCAGGAGTTGCGGTTAACGCGCACCACTTTTTTTTTTTCAACGGAGATGCGTGTGAGTAAGCGGCGCACACGTAGGTGACAACTATGTAATAGTCAAAAAGTGCTCGATTATTGGCACTTGCGTTTCATTTGAATTTCGGTCTCTTCCGTAATTTTAGCATTATATCTATTATATATATATAATATATATATACCTATATATATATATATATATATATATTTTACAGTTTGTCACTTCACGTACGAAAGCCACTTCTTAAATATTAATTATCATTCTACTTGTTACCCATAGTGCGTTATGCGTGTGCAGATTAGACTTGTTAATTACTTAATACATATTTGCGTCTAGAAAGTTAGTGGAGAATGCTCGAAAGGATTATATTTTAATATATATCAAACGATCCAAGACAAATATAATTCTATATGAGCTGCTTATTTAAAACTCTTGTGATTCCTATCGCAAAATATCATATATAATTATATATAATTTACAAATATATATTTCAAATATTATATTACTTAAGAACGCTCCTTTGTGTATGTTTGACAGATTCCTGTATCTCTTCCCGGCCTTAATTTAGACGGCGCACATATACCAGCGAGTGTTAGTCACCTGGCTGCACATGCACAAATGCAACAACAAATGCAGGCGCAAGCACAGCAGCAGCTGCACCAGCAGCAACAGCAGCAACCGCCGCAGCAGCAGCAGCAGCAGTCTCATCATCAGATGCCGAATCATCAGAACGCTCAGAACAATGGGCCGACGGCGCACAGCCAGAACGCGCAGCGAGACGACAACAAAGTCAAGGACGAGGGCGGTAGTTGCACCACCGAGCGTTGCAGCGACAATCAGGTTCACTGTCAAGTTCAATGCGATCTGCAATTACAACCACCCCAAGATCTTCAACAGAGCTTGATGCAACAGCAGCAGCAACAGCAGCAGCAACAGCAGCAGATCGGGGTCAATATCAGCGGTAACTCCACTACCGAGGGAGGAAGCCAGAACAGCTCCGAGAAACCCGAGAAGGAGAAGGAATTGCGGCAACTTAATATGACCCAGTATGTACAAAGACGGGGGGGTTAAATTGGGTTTTTTAAATCGTTATTGATTGTTATTGATACTGGATTGATGAGTTTTATTTATAAAACTGTGCTGTTTCCGTAGATTTCAAGTCCCTGACTTGAAACCAGGCGGACACATGATGGACGTGAGGACAGCAGATGGATCAGTTGTCAAAATTAGCGCAGGAAACGAGCAAGATTTGGCCAAGACTCTCGGCGTCGAAATGGTACAAAATATGTACAAGGTATGTGATGTCGTGATTAACCGTCGTGAATAATTGTAAATCTAAAAATATTAAGACCGTCGCATTTGTTCTCTTTCGCTCGGCAGGTTAATGTTGAGGATATTAACCAACTCTTGGCGTATCACGAGGTCTTCGGAAAGCTGCAGAGCGAGATTGCAGCCGGGACGACTCTAGTGGGCAGCACCGTGCCCACACAGACAGTTACCACGATACAGAACGGCACGCCAATCGTGCAGCAGGTCCAGTTGAACAAATTCGACATAAAGTCGAGCGACGGCGAAGCGACGCCCGGCCCGAGCGCGTCGCCCGTGTCGGTTGGCAGCCACGCTTGCGAGATATGCGGAAAGATCTTCCAGTTTCGTTATCAGCTCATTGTACATCGCAGATATCACACCGAGAGGAAGCCATTCACGTGTCAGGTACATATATATATACACAAACGTGGCGAATCTTTTATGCGTGCGCGGTGATTCACACCCGATATGCATATCGCAGATCGCAGTTATTGAGTGTGCGATGATTTCAGGTATGCGGTAAAGCGTTCTCGAACGCAAACGACTTGACGCGCCACGGCAAATGTCACCTGGGCGGATCCATGTTTACTTGCACCGTTTGCTTTCACGTCTTCGCGAACGCACCTTCGCTGGAACGTCACATGAAGCGACACGCCACCGACAAACCGTACAATTGCACGGTCTGCGGTAAGAGTTTCGCGCGTAAAGAGCATTTGGATAACCACACGAGATGTCACACTGGCGAGACACCGTACAGGTAGGTCTTCATTCAACGATAGGATTTTATTTAGATGTCGAAGCACGATTGATAGCGTCTAGTGAATAATAAATGTAGCAAGTGGCAATGATAACATTAATAATTATGCCAATTTTATTGTGAAAATCGTTCGTGGATATTAAGTACACGGCTTTGGAGATAACAGAATGAAATATGTCGGCATGATTCTTGCAGATGCCAATACTGTTCGAAGACATTTACCCGAAAAGAGCATATGGTAAATCACGTTCGCAAACACACTGGTGAGACTCCACATCGATGTGATATTTGCAAGAAGAGCTTTACTCGCAAAGAACACTTTATGAACCATGTTATGTGGCATACAGGAGAAACCCCTCATCATTGCCAAGCTTGCGGCAAGAAGTATACGCGCAAAGAACATCTCGCTAACCATATGCGCTCACACACAAACGACACGCCGTTCCGTTGTGAAATATGCGGTAAGTATAATTTTGCTTCTTATGTTTTCCGGTTCGTAATCTCGTAAAAGTTTGAAAATTAATTCGGGCGAAGAAAAAAAGATTCGCGTTGTCAGTATAAGACAAGCGACGAAGCAAATTACGATATTTGATGGGACGATTCCAGAAACTTTCTGAATTGACGCGATTGTCATCTTCCTCTAAACACCTCCCGTGAGATTAATGTTTTCTAAATTAGAAAAGAAATTGATATTTCAGGAAATTGAAATAAAATAAAATAAAAATTACCAAATATGAGCCAGTAATCGTAGATACATGCGATAATACACATTCAAATTATCGGCAATGTTGAAAATAATATTTTTTGACTTTTTTCGATTCTTATTCGACATCTCTTTAACCGAAATGCAGATATTATTTTTATAGTTATTTGTGTTGCGGTTGAAGTGAATCCAGATAAGAATCCAATATTTCTTAACTTTATCGATAGAATTTGAGTGTATTATTGCACTGGTATCTACATTTGCCGTCTTATATTGACTCGTAGTTACTCTTGGCTATCCAGATATGTATTAATATTTAAATTCCGCATGAAGGTAACACATTTGCGACATAAAATTAACGGTTTTTTAATTGATTGTAAATTGGTTCGCGTAAAATGTTTGAAATATTTTCATAATTGACTATCGAATTGATGGAGTGTTGCCGCCAAAAATACTTTATTATGAAAGACGAATTTACCATAAGATCAATGTAGATTTAGTGAAATTGAAGCGCTAACAAGGTAAGTATGTTATATTATTTAATAATACATTATCCGAGATACAAAATATATACTGCATTCTGCATTAATCCATCATCTTTAATTATTAAAGTAGCAAATACAGAAAATTTTTCTTAAAGAGAAAATTATTTAAGCTTTTTTAGAAGTTTAAATAATTTAACCCTAAAAATCTACACTGAAATACAACGAATCCATTTTCTGATTTGTTGTGGAATTTTTGAAACTTCTTGTCATTTTCAATTTTTATTCTTGGTTAATTAAAGTATTATTAAAAATGCAAGTAGATTTTGTTAAAGTCTACTGAATTTGGACCTTAGTGCATCAAATGTTATGCACTTAATAAGAAAATGTATAGTTCTAAGGTTTAAGCAATTGGACTAAGAAAAATGACTTACTAATTCTAACTTTGAAGTCCTATTCTAGCTTTTCAATCTAACAAACATGCTTATTATGATTTTTACATACACACATGAAATGCGCTTTTTAATTTATGTTTGCGTTGAAAAATTAATACAGTGTGTACATTTTTTCAGAGAACGCATTGTAAGCTTCAAAGTATTGAAATTTTTTATTGCTGTATATATATTTTGCAAATTTATCCCAATTGACAATATTTGAATACATCTACCAATACTAATTAATAAAACGGAGTCCACAGAGATGCACAATCTATCTCCTGAAATAACTGAATAATAAATTTACTAATAAATTTACACAGTTCGAAGAAAAAAGAATGAAAAATAAGTTGGAAAAATAACTGAAAATGTTACATTGCTCATCAGTATATCTACGATCCATAATGAATTTAACTTATATATTTGTAGGGTAATAAATTTGCGTTTATAACAAAAAAATTCGTTTTTATAATTGTTGCAAAAGTTGCACGTGTACATTAAGAATTTCCAAAACAATTTCAATATTTAACTTAAATAATCTTCGAAGACTTAAATAACCTGCCGAAGTATCGATTCCAATAAGTATCTCATAATTCAAGTCATTTCGAGCAAGGATCGAGGAGAGTTGTGCATCTTTGAAATCTTCGAGCTTGTACGCGCATCTGTTCTGCTTCCGCGAACAAGCGATTTCCTCGACTCGTAAGAGGAATGGAAAAAAAAACGAAAGAAAGAAAAAAAAAGAAATTGACGCTGCCACACGGACCGGCGTCGGTGTGAGCGCCGCGCGATCGATGAGATTTGACAAGTGTTCCTCTCTCGAGTCGTCGAGCGCGCGCTCGGTAAAACGCGACGGATGCGGCGCGGACGCGGACCGGGGGAGTTACGTCGAACGCACCCGCGTGCGCGCACATACGTACACACGTCATGTATTGTACACACGTATTTGTGTGTACAATACATACGTACGTGCACGCGCGCGCGCACCTGTGTGTGTGTGTATGTGTATGTGTGTGTGTGTGTGTGTGCGTGCAGCCGCAGCCGCTGCCGCGGCGGTGAAATAAAATTCGCGAGAATTGATCGCGCATCGCGAGTAAAGCCGCCCCTTCCTCGCCCGGTCGGTCGGCCGGCTCCCGCGGAGCGCGGGTCGTGCGCATTCCTTCGCGGTGGCGCGGAGGCGAGGAGGCGCCCCTCTAACCTTAGAGAGCCGCGTCGGTGCGCTTGCCCTCACCCGCCCGCCTGCCCGCCCGCCCGACCGACCGGCCGACAACGACGACGACGGGGGAAACCCCTTTCTTCCTTCCTCAGTCCTCGGGAATCGCGCGAGGCTCCAACCCGCCGCCGGCCGGCACCTCCAATAAAGGGGCCCCCTTTATTTCTCGTCTCAACATCTGACCGTGAACTGTGATGGCATGACTTGCTATTTCGTAAATTTAAGCGGTTCGTATAATGAGGTCTTTTCTGCCCGCGCCCCCCTTCCCCCTCCCCCCGTCCGCCCTTGCTTATATCCGTTAATTTCGCTCGCTCGATCGCGTGTCGCACCTCCCGGGCCGCTTCCTCCCGATACGCCGTCATTTTGCGTGTGCCATTCTTATATATCGGCGATGCGTCGGGAAATTTTATTCTTCTTCGGCGGATAGATCCGTGTGGTCTTCCAAGCGGCGTCCAGGACGCTGGTTCCTCGTGGAGTTTATTCTCGTGCGACGCGAGAGAGCCGGAGCTCGATCGCACATCGCGTGATCTTGTTCACTCTCCGTCCGCATCAAAATTGCAGCGGATCACGGATTCGTGAAGTGTCATATCTGTTCAATGGTCGTTGTTGAGAAAAGAAAACGCTCGAGTCTTCAGCGTCGCACGGCGAAGGAAATCCGTTGATTCCTCTTCGCGCGAGTCGGTGCAGCGCGAATCGGATATATGCTTGGCTGAAAAATGCAAAAATTCCGAGATCCGCATACGGTCGATTGCGTGCCAAGGTGGAGCGCGATCGGTCAATTGCGGCTTCGCCGCGTTGATCACGCGTGTCGATAGGACGTACTCGCCTCGCGCGATCGCGGACGGGATACAGAGTAAAAAAAGTCTGCCGCAAAGTCCGCGCCGCTATAAGTGTGGCAAAATTCAAAATTTGTATTTTTACTCGACGCGGAGCCGCAAGCATGCGCGCCGATCTGCACATGTCACGTGACTGCACGTAACATGTAAGCGCACGTCGACCGCGTCCGATGTTCCGTTTTTCGAAATTTGCGGGAAACCCGCGCGCGAATGACCTGCGACTTTCATTCCTCTGGGGCGCGCGCGCGCTCGTTTTGCGAGACTTTTTCGGAGACCCGTGGATGTCGAGCGAACGAAATCCGGTCTCGAAGGTTTCGAGCCGCTTTGGATGCCACTCGTCGAGGCGCATTCGAGGCTCCTCCTCGCGCACCTTCACCATCTTCTTTCAATTGATCTGTTATTTAATTATAATAATTCCAGGCTTGGAACATCGCAGCAATATTGCGGCATTATACGTAACCTGCGTTACGTTGCAACGTTGCCGCAATATTGCTTTCGTTCCGTGGAATTCGTTCCGTGCATTCGTGGAATGTTGGTTTCACCTTTCGATGGATGTGGCTCAACGTGATTGGGCGAAAAAAAATCACCCGTAACGATTGCGATGAGCACTCGCGGATCACAAGCGTGATTAACCCCCTTTGGCTGGCGGTGGCTGACGTCACTCGAAATCCGACCGGTCCCCATTGGTTTTCGAACATTATTTATACATCCCTCTCACATCTCGCGAGAGTGTTGAAGATCAAACTTGAAAACTGTTGCTTTTTTTCTATTTATGTATTGTATTTATATGTGGAATGCAACTTTTGATTATTTAATAGAGTATGAGTCAGGAATGACTCGGCCACAGTCTTCCAAAGACAACTCCGTCGTATATCTGAACGATTAATTATCAGTAATAGAAGATTAATTGCGAATCCCCCCCCTTCCCTCACGTGTCTTGGAATCGTCCCAGTCGCGCGATTTGCAACGCGTATATTATATTATAAACGTCTCTTCCCCTCGCGTCTGACATTGCAATCTAATGAAGCGCGCCTGTTCTCGGTGCTTTTCTTTCTGTTTAACGCTGCCGTACGCAGGTAAGTCGTTTACGAGGAAGGAGCACTTCACGAACCACATAATGTGGCATACGGGCGAGACGCCGCACCGCTGTGACTTCTGCTCGAAGACGTTCACGCGAAAGGAACACCTCCTGAACCACGTTCGCCAGCACACGGGTGAGTCTCCACACCGATGCGGCTTCTGCTCCAAATCGTTCACCAGAAAGGAACACCTTGTTAACCACATCCGCCAACACACAGGTGAGAGCGGTTGGCAGATGTTCACTTCACGGGCAACCGATATAATCGTTGTTATAAGAGTATCTCTATTAAAAAGTAGTTGTGTTTTCGTGGTTTTATTTATATCTCTATATATTTACATGTACTTATATGCATTCAGAAAGAGAAAAGAGAATTCAGATTTCATTCTTTCCCTTTCTTTTTTTATTTATTTTTTTGTTTTGTTTTTCTCTAGAAACTAAGAGATCGATATTGTAGGGGGACTCTATGACAGAGAGTGTAGTTACACACCTCGCGTATAACATCGTATTTAGGTGGTTCGATTGAACGCGAGTCGAGACACGCATCTCTCCACACGCTTCCGGTTTCACACATCTGGGCTTCATACACACAGGCTATTTTACTTTTTTATTGGATTTGCCGTTTTGAAAGGGATCTTAAAGTCGTCCGTTTTACCGATTGAACACTATAATTTTTGTGTCGAGATTTCTAACGTATTACTTTAATAGACTTGGAAATCCTTTTCCAGAATTAAAAGTATACGCATTAATACGTGTCGGATGCCCGGAATTTACTCTGAGAAGGAAAAAAACATTTTGTAATTTAGATCTTTATCATTTCTTAGTTCTGTAGCATCTAGAGCATGCTGTCAAGTCAGCGTGCTTGATATAAAAGCTCTCTGCAATTCATACTTACGAAATTACGGTGGCTAGATTGGTAGATTACATGGAGAGACAACATGGAGTTGTTAGAATTAGAGATTTAGATACTTAATTTTCGATTAAAAATTTACACATTTACGAAAATTTGTTACAAAGTGTGTGTACTGATGATAGTAAACATAAACACATCACTACTACATCACCACTATTACACTACTACATCAACCGCATGCATAAATCATCGGTAAAACAGCGATGCCATGGAGTTTGGTCTCCTTTAGCAACCTTTTAACGACGCGCGATCTTTGGAGTCGATTTTTTCTCCTCGACAGCATTATCGACGCGCGATTGTTAATGTCGGTTTACAATAAGGATTTCAAGCCCATCACCGTAAGATGTTGACCAGTTACAATCGATTATTCTCCTCATATTTGATTGCGATTGGTCTATTTCTTATTGCGCTTAGGGTTTAAAATCCTCATTATGGACCGGCACTTTTGCGTCTCTGAAGTAAAAACGTGAATTTGGATGATAAATCAGTTCTATTTGAACGAAATTAACGTCGAGACACAACTAAAAGCGAAATTATTTATTTGAGATTCTGAAGCACGGCATTGTGGAAGGTACCCTTTGCATTCTCATTCGCTTGTCAACTCAGAATCCCGTTTATTTGAGTATGTCAGAACTGTCGTCTTTACTTAAGAGATTCTGTCGTTAACGATTGATCCGCTAAGAAGTGCGACACCCTGTACATGTACGGTTGGCGCATACAGCTGAAGATCGGACACTTGCATGGGAATTGATTTTTCATTTAGACGGGGGATAATCACCATAAAGTCTCGCTCATTCTCGGTCGCTCTCATCGTTACGCGTCTCACATCAAGTTTTACACCACACGCGCGTTATACACACACCTAACCGATCATCGCAAAACTCCACTTCATCACCGGAATTCCCCGCCAGGGACATTTTGCTGCAGTTCTGCCTAATACACCGCTCTCATTATCACACACGCCTCCTATTAACAGTACTTGAACAGTTCAGTCATTTATAAGTGTTCACAGCTCTCATCCCGCATTCCCGACAAGTTGCCACAAATGAATTTTATATCTCACACTGTGTCGGAGACTTGTAAATAATTCCATAGCTTGTAACTTTGACTTCATTTGTATCGTGGGTGGTACAAGTCTCGAGCTCTGGTTTAGTTGAAATATAGCCAAATATATAGAGTGTCAATTAGATTAGATGTGAGATCAAAAGAGAAATCGTGATACACATATACTTGCTTTTAATAATCGCAAGGTAGAGTTTCATGCTTAAAGTAACGGTAGTACGATAGCATTTCAGTATTTGATATACAAAATTAGAGAGTGTATTATATCAGAGTACACTATAATATATTGCTGTACAAGTTGACTTTCCTTCGATGTAACGTAGGGACACGGCAATATCGAATATAAAATAACACAAAGTTCTTTTCCCCAAAGTAGTAGTAAAGTTCTCAATTTTTGTGATTCAATATTTAGTGATTCTAAATAATTAAACAGCGTTGGCGCTAGATTAAAATTTAGAATTTGTTCTTAATTTATTAAAGCGTTTCTAGTTTGTTAAAAGAGAGTGAGATAAATTACAACACAATGTCTTGCTTCTCGATTTGCATAGATGATTTTCATTATCCAATTTTAGAACGAATACATGTTAACTTCAACATGAATTTTATGTATTCGATCAATTTATTTTTCACCTTTTGGATGGTTTCCGCTTTTTGGAAATTTCTGCCCCACTTCTGTCCCATTCGATATTGTGCATCCTCTCCGTGCGTTGCGTCAGGCAAAACTCGCCTTGTGCAGGATAACTCCACTGAGTTCTGAATGACGGTAACACTTTTTTTCTCAAACATTGCGAATTCGCTTGTAAAATATGTACAGGGGAGACGCCCTTCCGCTGTTCATACTGTCCGAAAGCATTTACGCGGAAGGATCACCTGGTGAACCACGTCAGGCAGCACACGGGTGAGTCACCGCACAAGTGCCAGTATTGCACCAAATCCTTCACGCGGAAGGAACATTTGACCAATCACGTGCGTCAACACACAGGCGAATCGCCACATCGATGCCACTTCTGCTCCAAGTCATTTACTCGTAAGGAGCATTTGACGAATCATGTGCGCATCCACACTGGCGAATCTCCACATAGGTGTGAGTTTTGCCAGAGGACGTTCACTAGGAAAGAACATCTAAATAATCATCTCCGTCAACATACCGGAGATTCTTCACACTGTTGCAACGTTTGCTCCAAACCATTCACAAGAAAGGTACGTTGATTTTTTTATTTTTTTTCATTAAGACATTTGGTCCTTTACATCAAAGAGAGAAAGATCATTCCGTATTACAATGCTTATTAAAAATAAAATAAATAAACATTGGATTTTTTATTTTTTTCTATTAAGACATTTGGTCCTTTACGTTAAAGAGAGAAGATTATTCCGTATTATAATGCTTATTAAAAATAAATAAAATATTTATATTTCTTTTTATAATAACATCGCGTAAAATTTTGCATTATTTTTGATATTATATAAATGCAAACACGACAGTTCACAAATAGTTTTTATAATTAAGACTATAATCACATTTCTCTCCATTGAGCCTCTCCAATCACAGGACAGATAATAATTGTCATATCTCTTTCTTTAATTCTGTTACAGGAGCATCTCGTGAATCATATGCGTTGCCATACTGGTGAACGTCCATTCGTGTGCACAGAATGTGGCAAGAGTTTCCCGCTGAAGGGTAATCTTCTCTTCCATATGCGTTCGCACAACAAGGGCAGCAACGCCGAGAGGCCGTTCCGCTGCGACCTGTGCCCCAAAGATTTCATGTGCAAAGGACACTTGGTCTCGCACCGGCGTTCGCATTCAGATGAACGGCCGCACAGTTGCCCGGACTGTGGCAAGACCTTCGTCGAGAAGGGCAACATGTTGCGGCATTTGCGCAAGCACGCGGCCGAGGGACCGCCGACACAGGTTAGCACACCGTCGGCCATACCGCAATCCGGTGTCCTGCCGATACCGGCAGCGGCGGCGGTCCTGGTCGGGCATCCATTAGCACCGCCGGCGCCGCCTGTGGTGCCGCAACACACGGTGGTCGTGCCGACACCGCCCGGTGTATTGACATCGTACTAGATCGAGACAGTTACAGGGATTGGACAAGGAAAAAATAGAAAGAAAGAAAGAAACAAAAAATAAAGAAAAGAGGAAAAAGAGAAGATAAGAAGAGGCATTTGAAGATGATACATGCTGTGTATACTTAATATATGATTGCGTCGAGGAAGTGTGAAGATTGTGCGCCATTCATCGTTTCCTTAAGGACCTGGGTTACAGTGAGGATTTACTATGCGCCATTTGAATCAACGGTGTCTTCTCGCGTGCTGCTCGATCCGCTCGTGATGATGCCCCGCGGCAGCTGCGACACCCATCTTCGTTTCGCGTAAGATTCGCAGTGAACTTTGTTCGGGACGATATAGAGCGATTGCTCGTGATACGCGCATGAACGCGCATTAGAACATTGATGACTGTTCTTTACGACAATTATTACGGCGATTATTATCCAAAGTTTGATTTTGCTTCGTTTATGCTTGTACTTGATAAGTCGATTGGTAACGAACATATAACGTATTCGTTCCAAATTTGTGCAAGAGGATATCCCAGAGTATCAGATTTTTGCGATTATATGAGAAATATGTAATAACTTCTTCGTTATACTTTAGTAAGCTTCCATAATTTTAACAAAGAGGCACTAATTATATAAATGTCAATGACGTCTTGGGGATTATGTTTGTATGTTATTTTAGTTTGTCTGTCTGCATTCGCCAATTAATGAAGTTTCCGGTGGGGCACGTATATATAGCGAATGTCGGGCAAAATATATTTGCGAGTTTGAGTAGCGACTTTGAATATGTATATTTTCCTGTGAAAATATGTATTAGTAAATCACTATTTGCAAATATATTTTAGTCGATATTGGGACATGTAAGCGATTATCCAGACAAAACAAGGCGAACATAGTGAGGTTTAGCCATGATTATTGAGGTTTAGTCATGAAGGTTTAGTCACATTGACCATTGCTTTACGTTTAACGCTGACAAATTACTATTAAAGACAGCTAGCCTTGGATAAATTTTGGAGCGTAGTTGAAGAAAATATATACTTATATTTAAAATATAATATTTAAATATAAATATATATATCTATATATTAAATATATTTATATATATGTGAATAAATATATATATAAATATATAAAAAATTTTGTACTATATATATTGTACTGAATTTACGATTTATTTTTATACATATTCTTCATAAAAAAGCGTATTTTTATTATGACGCAATAATATGATGCTGAAAAATTGCACTTGTATTCCGTTTTTGCCCACATGGAAAATGAAACACGGATGACAGTAAAAGTGCAGTTTTGAATAAAAATCTAATATTATTGTGTTGTAATTATATATACGTATCTATATAAAACAGAATTATAGTAAATTAATTTTAACTAATCGTTCAAATTTTAGCAACTGAATGAACTTTTATCACAAAATGTCGGTTTTTAATAGTACATTGTCGGTGGCATTAATTATTGACTTCTGTGTAATTTTTGTATGAAAGTGTGTTGTCATTATACTTTCACGGAACTTATTCGATCCGGAGTGGTATTTCGAATTGTAAATTTATTTTTATATTTGCAGATATATATGAAGATTGTTGACAAAACGAACTATATATGCATCTGCTTGATTATTCTGTTAAGAATAATCATTGCTAAAATACTATTTTTTGGTTTATTTCTCACGAGAAAGAAAATTACTATATGATTATATATTCACTCGTATTATTCAGAAATTCTAAACTGATGTTTATTGTCTAAATATCTCGGTGTGAAAGAGAGAGAGAGCAAGCGTATAGCTCTTACTATATTTATTAAAGTATTATTTAAAAAATTGTAATATTCACACAGAGCAAGCAAAAAGTAGGATTATTTTGAAAAAGTGCATTTTGACTTGAAAACTTAAGCGTTGTAATTTGCTTTGATTTTTAGTTTTAGTTATTACAATCGAGTGCAATATGGCTCAGTCGCATTTTGTATAAGGCGATACAAACAACTGCAAAGCGAATACCACTGACGCCGGATCCGGTAAAGTAAAAACTTACAGATAACACCGACGTATGTATGAGTCAAATTTCACGCGTTACCGAGAACAGATATATTCACGTTTTAAGTTTCGTTATTAAATTTAATTAATGATTCTCTTTTGTACCATCGGTCACGAGAAGGGAGGAACACTATCACTGTAGCGATCATCCTGTAAGGCCATGTATTTCGTATTTACCGTTAAGATAAAAGTAAAGAGAGATAAATAAGTGCGGCAGCGCGGTGAACGATTGCGCGCGCGCGCGCGTGCGCGCGTATGCGGTACCGGTAGCCCCGTGTGAAATTTCAAACGGGAACCCGGGGACCACGCAAAAGCGGTGTTAGGGACAAAAGAAAAAGAGTCGCATCCGATCGATCATCGCGCCGTCGCGTTTGCGTTAAATATATATAATTATGTATAATATTAATAGTACCTATCACAAATAGGCATTATATAAAGAGTACGACAAATTTATTAACGCGCGTTTGTGCGTCACCCGCGTGAACCCGTGCGTGCGACGAAAGTTGTTCGCAAGTCGGTAGAAATCTAGATATATTATATATAATGAATATATATATATATATTATACTATAAGCATATTGAGAAATACAGTTAGATATCATATGTACTATTTAAAGTAACGAAACAGTGAAAAAAAAAACTTGAGTGTACTGCAGGGTCATCTTATACATGAAAAAAAAATACCGTGCGGAATTTACCTACATTATGCGTAGACCTTTGTTATATTCTCGGGGGAAAAAAAAATTAGAATGAGAGGTGAGAGGGCGATAATAGATAAGCGTAGATAAAGAGAGAAAAGAGGACACGCGAGTCATCGCGATCTTATACACTTAATATGGGATGGACAAATATATATGTATAATATATATACTGCTCTCGTGCTTATATACATTATGTATATATAATCTGTAACATACACAAGTGAGGTAATCACCGGGGGAAAACGACCAGATCCATTTTCTTTTCCTCGGCGGCGGGGGGAGAAAAATATATACTTCCGACGAGAGACGTACATGTAAAGAGAGAAGGAAGGACAGACAAGGAGCAACTTCCTCTGCAGTTTGACCTATGCATCCCGCGCGGCAACATTGCTAAGAAGAACATGTAACAAGGAATAAATAGAAATAATGTTTATATGAATTATTATGATTATTAATAATGATAACTATCATACGTTACGAGGATAAAAACTAAGAGTTGATTCATGCTTTTAAGAGGTTTAGTTTCGTGCTTGTTTAAAGATAATAAAAAAAAAGAATGAGGATTAATGGCAAGCAGTCAGGATATCTCCGAGCGTTCGAGCGTTTTGGGTCGAAGCGAGCACGATGCGCGTACACGATGCGAAGGGAGTGTGTTGTCGTATCGACGGCTTCCCACCGGGAACGCCGTTGTTCCTCGTCGAGAAAAGAGATTTTGCGCGCGACGTTCACGCAAAATCCTGTGTATAGGGTCGCAACGCAACAACATGCGTCCGCAACGCACGAACATAGCAGTAACGACCGGCGCTTCGGCTCAGAGCGAGAAAAACGTGGTGAGGGAAAATAAAAAGATTCAAAAAAAAAAATATTATTTACTTTAGATAGAACGAGAATATGTATAGAATTTTATTATGCACCATTGTAATATTATGTATCCCAGTTGTGACACAATATACACTGGTGTTATGTTAAATGTGGAAATTACGCGTACCAATCTTCTTTTGTTTCTGTGTTTCCCCCAGTGCTGTCTTATCGTATACTAACGACACTCGAGATATACTCCGTTAAAATTAACAAATCCTGTGGTTCTCTTCTGACATGCGCCCACGAAGGTGAAAATTTGTCGAGTCCATTTGAAGAGTTTTTGTAAAAACAACGGTAGAAAAAGAGAGAGAGAGAGAGAGAGAGAGAGAGAGAGAGAGAGAGAGAGAGGATGACGTTTGTACATGTACAAAAAAAAACGTGCGACGTGTGGTGTGTGTGTGTTGTTTCCTACCCTTAAGAATAAAATTTTATCCTGAATCTTACACGTCATTTTCTATGAGCAGGCCATTGCGATCGCTTTTCTTGAACATGTAACACTGCTGAAAGGATGAATTCTGCGGCGCTGTGTAAGTAACGGGATAATTGTAGATCAGACTCCGCTCCTCCTCCCGTTTCGTCCTGAATTCGTGCGAATTCTTACGGACTGCGCAAAGAGAGACGATCAACATTTTATTCTTCTTCAAGCGAATCACAAAAATTGGTCAGGGGTACGAGTGTGTTACTTACCCTCGTTTATGAAGAAATTTGCGAAATATTGAGATGCCACAGTGGCGTTAATCCCGTGAGGGATATTCTTCCCGGTCACCCATTCGTAGAGGTTCTTCTCCGGATGGAACTGCAATCCGTAGAAAGGGAATTGCTTATGCTCCAACGTGGAGATGAACTCCAAGCCTTTTTTATCGCGGTTCAGTGACAACACGTGAAATTCATCCGATATATTGACTCGGCGTAAATCCTAAAGCAGAGAAAAAAATTATTCATTTAATATTATATTAATCATTTATATAATTAATATTATATTATTATATTAATATTGTATAATTAATAATTTGCGTTACATAATTGCTTTTCTTTTTTAATTCGCTATCTCAACTAATCATTTCTAAAGAGAAAACACTTGCCTCCTTCGTGACGCAAAATTGATGATAATTCGCCGTGACGTTTTCCCCAACCAAGATCCTTAAGACATCTGATGGGGCGTTCTTAAACAAATTGCTTTCTCTAAAGTCTGAAAGAAAAGTTTACATTTCTTGAAGAGACGAGCCTGAATGAATTCTTATCGCTAAGCAGCTTTCATTAACCAGAGAATAGTCGCCCGTTGTTTTTCTCTTTTGCAAAAATTTTTGTTGCACCTGGTGGTTTTAACATCTTAATAAAAAAACTACTAATTATTATTAACTATATATTATTATATATATTCTTGATCTACAATTTAATATTTGAGATCCTTATGTATAGATTTATTATTTTCATTTATTCTAAAAAAGATGAAGAGAAATAAAAAAAGGATTCATTGTTGGTAAAGAAAGCTGGAGAACTTTATTTGTTTGCTATAAAAATCATCCCAGGTGATTATTTCTGGAAAAAATTATTTTAATCTAAAAAGAATTCGTGGATATTTTATTTAAAAATGAAAGTAACAGGAGGAACACAAAGAAATCTGGAAAAATAAATTTAACGGAAAAAAATTCCGATGTATTTCGAAAGAAGTATTTACCGTGTGTGAATTCTAGAGGAAGAGGCTGGTTTTTACTGGAGCACGACGTTCTGTGCTCAACGCGATTCGCGGCGACATACGTCAAGAGTTCGAAGCCAAGGCAGATACCAAGTATCGGGAAGTACACTCCTCTCTCGTTGATGCTCTTCGCGATTCTGTCTCAACAAACAAATGAAGAAAATATACACATCCGAATAATTGTGGAGTTGCGTTATCATTATTCTTTATTTTTTAATTGTATTGACCTGTAAATCACGGCGCCTGCATCGGCGTAGCCTTCCTTCTGATAGAAATACGTCGCACCTCCTGGCCAGAGAACTCTAAAAAAAATATCGCACTTGGAAAACGATTTTTGTGTATAACGTAACGTAGAACGTTTTAAAAATGATAGAATATTATTTTTAAATAGTATAGAATACACATACCCATTGACTTTGCTCAAGATGTCCTCATAGTACGAATCATTCCCACCAATCCTATAAAAAGTTACGTAATATTTTAATCTATGTCATATAACTGTTATAATTATTAAATATAATATCGCGAAATCTTTTCTACATCTATTTACATTAATCTAAAACGAGATACTTTCTATAATTACATAATTGTTAAAAGTTGTTGTACAGAAAGAGACTTAGGAAGATTGATAAAGAAATTTTTTTTGAGAAACTTCAACGTTCCATCTCGAAAACTATTGATTTTTAAGACCTATGTTTATTTAAAAGTCTTCGGGCCTTAAATAATAAAAAAAGCGTTTTTTTAAGTCATGACATGGATTTAAAATATATTTGTATGTTGAAATTTAGCAAAATATTTAAAAAATCGTACAACAAAGGGTTAAATTATTTTATTTATTATTTGACAAATGATTTATAATATGTTCATAGTTAGCTACGTGGAAAAAATATTGATTTCTTCAAAAGTTAAATTACAGAAGGAGGATTATTTATCGAATCAATGAACGAGGAGTATAATGTATATAATGAGAAATTGTTGTGATTACCAAATTGGGACGGGTCGAGCGCCGGCACCCTCCACGAATTTCACGTACGACGCAGCGATGTAGCTGTGATATTGATTAGGATACTTTTTGTTTAAGTTATAATCTATCTCCTGCGTTAGAATACCTTAAAGGATTAAAAAAGCATAATATTATTTTTGAATTTTAGCGCGAAAGATATTCGGCCCGATACAAAAGGAGATCGGCAAGATTTGACTTTGGAACAAAAAAAATGCATACTTGAATTCTTAGTAAAAATTTAAATTATTTTTGAAACGGTAAAAGTTTAAATTTTTTTAATCAATTATGTATCTTCGAACGAAACTTTCCGCATTTCATTTATTTCATAGATATGTCTTATGAATATAGCAATATTGCTGTGAAAGTAGAATCTTTTATGAAGAAAATTAGAGATTTTTAAGAATAATCTTTAATTGCAGGGTTTTGCGTCAAGCATTAAATTACTTATTAAATTATATTATAATTTGTGCAGATCAGAGTCTATATACGAGTAGAATGCAAGGCTTTATCACACATTTGACCTGTAAAATTCAGACTTTTAGATAAGGAATTTCTTATGCATTCCTTATTCTTCTAACATTAGTCCTTCGAATTATCTATTTTTAAGCCTGGACAATTATCTGTGGAATCAACAGTTCAGAAACAGTAAGGTAAAGTGGGAAAGACGTTGGAAAACTTATTCATCTCAAGAGATTATAATTGACAAAAATGTTATTAATGCTTGTTTCCTATTGGAAAATAATTATTGCGTGTAAGGATAATATTTTAATGAATAAATTAGTTTCTTCCTACATTTTTTACACGTTTGTTTTTTGTTATAAAAATGAGACAGAATCTTTTTTGATCATTTAATACGCGCGCGCGCACGCACGCATGCACGCACGCACGCACACACACACACACACACACACACACACACACACACACACACACACGCACACGCACACGACACACGCACACGCACACACACACACACAC